ACGATGCGAGCCCAATCGCAACCTGACGCACCAACTCCTCACTCCTCAAGACTATTCTTGTCAATTGAAGAATATATATATATATTTTTTTTGTAAGCAACGAGTCTATGCAACTCCAAATTGACGAAAAGACCCTTACTCTATTATAGTAGTTGATTTGTTTAGAGTAAAAACAAATAAAAAGTGCAAGCGATAAGCCCCTATCCTGTCCCTCCACCTAAAACTAAAAAAGAAAGCCAGGGCACAAAGATGAAAGACAACCGCTCACACTTCACCATCTCTTTCTCTCTCATCGGTCCTACCCCCTACTCACTCACTTTCCCATCATCATCATCATCTCATCTCATGTATGCATGTAATACATGCAGCATGCATGATGTTTATGTATATGCATGTATGATGATGATGGTATACGGAGATGCGATCATGACGAAGCCGCTGATGTTATAAAGCTTCTGTCTAGAAATAAGGAGAAACCGAGGCGCATGCAAAACCCTCATAATTCTGTCCTCTCTGACCCACGCAACCTATCCCATGCCTGGTGTTTTTTTAAGTTTCGGATTCCAACATTACGCATGAACCCTCTCCCTTCCCCCATGCCTTTACTTTTCTTTTAATTTACCACCTCCGCCATCGCCTTGTCTGGCATTCTGATTGTCTGGTTGATTGGGTATTTTGGGGATGATATTACGAGTAGGCAATTCGGCGATTCGGCTCCACTCGAACTCGATGCATTTAATGCAATTACCTTGATTTCCCGGGGGCAGTTTATTAACGACGAAGGTCATTTTCGTCCAATAATACCGTTTATAAGGTCTGCTCCATTTTTTTTTCTTGCACAGCGGAGAGAGCTAAGCCGAAGTTGTCGAACCACTGTAAGCAAACAGCAAGAGATGAAGGTGAGGGTTTCTGTCTAATATCTTTGGTTCTGTCCATGCTTTTCCTGCTGAAATTCCGAAGGAAAAGGAGAGATAGAGCTTTAGGGAATCGCCATGGCTGAAATCTTTTATTAAGTCATGAATTTTCAGTTCGTTTCAGCAGGGAGGTCCAACACATAAAATCGGTCTTCCTAGTATTTATTCCTTGGCTGTTGTATTATTGTGCAGGGAAAGCCTTCCTTTTCGTATTTTTAGGTCCTAGGAATTTAGGATGTTTCAAAGATTAGGAACCATATACTGAAGTCGACGGAGGAACCCCTCGAAAAGATGAAGATCGCTTCTGCGGGTTCCCTCTCTTAGAAGAGTGTGAACAAGATCGTGAAACCGCTCGTACGAGCAAGGTTCCGTCGTTGATGCTGCTTTCGTGTCTGTTCTTTCTGTTTGCCTGAAGGAACAACGAAAGGAAGCTCGGATCTTGAGAAATCTCTGGTTCCAATTCTTATTTGAAGTTTTAAATGTCAAGAAAGTAGCGTTTCTGAACGCATTCTGCGGGGACAACCAAGTTCAGCTCGGTTCTGGGGTCACGAAGGGAATCGGAGCATCGACGCATTCGAATTGTGTCGACCCGTCGGAAAAGAACTAACTTCGATCTCGAGGAATATCTGGTGTGAAAGTTCCTCCACTTCCCTCTTCCCTCTTGTTTATTTTGATTTTCTCGTTAGCTTCGGAAGACGGGAAGGAAAAAAAAGATATTAGACGGAATGCTTTTTTCGACTTTGTTCTAACGAGGTTTAAAAGAGGAAGAGGATAGCGTATTATACAGTTTCGGGCTTGAGCGGTTGAGCCTGCGAGTCTCAACTTCTTCGGTGGATATAAAAGCCTCAGAGCCTAACACGGTTGTGAGAGGCTGGAGAGGAGTTCGTTTGAGGTGGTTTACCGCTCCGATCTCGAAAGATCTATGTTTTCTTGTGTTCACCGCTGCCTCATAGTGAAGAAAGAAGGACAACGACGTTTTAGTTTGGGGAACACCAACTGTATTTCTTATTTATTTTTGTTTCCCTTCGCCCGAGCGCTTCGAGATTGTTAGAGAAGAAGACTTGGAAGTTAGAGACTCTTTGAAGCATTTCCTTCTTCAATGTTTCCTTTGACTTCTGGAGGAGAGGTAAGTATTAAGCCGAGTGAGAACTTTGTATCAATGCCAGAGGAGCTTAAACTGCCAACCCCACCTCTTGCTTGCTGATTATTTGAATCTTGAGAGCGGTCGAGAATTGCTTCTTGTGATCTCAGAGTCTCAATTCTTGCTAGTCGAGCACCTCAAACTAGTGGTTTGCTTCTGCTATTTTATCATCTTTAATTGTGAAGTTATGATGGCTGTTACGGCGTCCTGCAAGGATGGTAAAGGTGGAATGGAAAATGGAAAGTATGTCCGTTACACACCTGAGCAGGTCGAAGCGCTTGAAAGGCTCTATCATGAATGTCCAAAACCTAGTTCCATTCGTCGGCAACAGCTGATCCGAGAGTGCCCGATTCTCTCCAACATTGAGCCTAAGCAGATAAAAGTCTGGTTCCAGAATCGAAGGTATTATGAATTCTGCTTCTGAATTTTATGTCCATTACCAATTTATTAGTTTACATATAATACAAACTGTTTTTCTTCTTCAGATGTAGAGAGAAGCAAAGAAAGGAGGCTTCGCGCCTCCAAGCTGTAAATAGGAAGCTGACGGCTATGAACAAGCTCTTAATGGAGGAGAACGACAGGTTGCAGAAGCAGGTTTCGCAGCTGGTGTATGAGAATGGTTACTTCCGCCAACAGACTCAGAGTGTAAGGAGTTGTATTGTTATACTTTCTTCTTTGTTTTTTGGTACTTGTTGTTCTTCATTCTATTTTAACGTTTATTAATTTGTAGCTTGTGAGCATGTTAAATTCATCCTTGTTTCCTGAAGTTGGGTTTTGAGTTTGATTTTTTGTCTTGCAGACGGCCCTTGCCACCACGGATACGAGTTGTGAATCAGTGGTGACCAGCGGCCAACACCATTTAACGCCTCAGCATCCGCCAAGGGACGCTAGTCCTGCAGGGTTAGTGAAATACTGTAAATTTTGATAGGTCCTCTATTCTCGTGCTTTGTGACGACCTTGTTGTTGTGTGGCTTCTAAGGTTTTGTTTGTATTTTCCCTAGACTTTTGTCCATTGCGGAGGAGACATTAACAGAGTTTCTTTCGAAGGCCACTGGAACTGCCGTGGAGTGGGTCCAAATGCCTGGGATGAAGGTTGCCTCTCTCTCTCTCTCTCTCTCTCTCTCTCTCTCTTTCTTGTCTATTTGTCAATGTGCCAATACTCAATTCTCCCTATTGGATAACAAACATAGTTTTAAAATGAACGTAGCTTCCCTATGCTTTTTGGTGTTTTACATAATACGTCTTCAAATTTTTGAAAAATCTAGGTGCTCTTAACTTCTTCTGGCATACACGATCACTTAAATATCTTGTTCCTTGCTAATTGTTTTTGTTTTTCTGTGCAGCCTGGTCCGGATTCCATTGGAATCGTTGCTATTTCTCATGGTTGCACTGGTGTGGCAGCACGAGCCTGTGGCCTGGTGGGCCTTGAGCCTACCAGGGTGAGTTCTTTTTTCAACATTGTATTTTTTCATTTATTCCTCAATTGTTGCAATTCTCCTTAATTGTCAGTGGTTTTACTAATGAGAACGGTTTAATTCAATATGCTCCTTCAGGTTGCAGAAATCCTCAAAGATCGGCCTTCATGGTTCCGTGATTGCCGAGCTGTGGATGTCCTCAATGTGCTGCCCACTGGAAATGGTGGAACCATTGAGCTGCTCTATATGCAGGTAGGTGTTAATTGTTGGTGTAATACTCAAACACATGCATATGTTTCTTAGTTATGGTCCGTATCATAAACTTATGTTAACTTATTTGTTTTTCATTTGGTTTAGCTGTATGCACCAACAACTTTGGCTCCTGCTCGTGACTTCTGGTTGTTGCGCTACACTTCTGTTTTGGAGGATGGTAGTCTTGTGGTATGTAGCTCCTGGATGGCCTTCATTGGGATTGCAAAAAAAACCTGCAACCTTATAGCAGCATGTCTTCACTTTCTGTTTTCTCTTTCTGATTCTTTTTTTTTTGGAGCTATTCTGATGATTACATATGTACTATGAAATGGTCAGGTCTGTGAAAGATCACTTAGCAACACTCAGGGTGGTCCAAGCATGCCTACAGTGCAAAATTTTGTGAGGGGAGAAATGCTACCAAGTGGGTATTTGATAAGACCATGTGAAGGGGGTGGATCAATAATACATATTGTTGATCATATGGATTTAGAGGTACATGAATTATCTGCTGTATTTTTGCTACAAGTTTTGTGATTGTGTTTTTCCCTTTTTGGGTTAAGAGATATGTATGTTCTACGAGTTAGCTGTTCATTACTTAGAATTTCATTTTGCGAACCAGCCATGGAGTGTACCTGAAGTGTTGCGCCCACTTTATGAATCATCAACTGTGCTTGCTCAAAAGACAACAATGGCGGTATGCCTATCACTTCCATTGTTTTTTTTTAATCTTTATATAGGTTCAGTAACTGGACTGAAAAAACCAATTACTGGACATGTTGATTTGAAAAATCAAATTTGACCGTCCATTGTAACTTTTTTTTTCTCCTAAAAGGAACAAGTCACATCCTAATAGAGCAAATTTTTTCCGTTATCCAAAATTGCTAGGCAATGTTTGGTTAAGATGGTAGGTAGAGGTGGTAACGACTCAATATTAATATTTTATGTTTCTATTATTTTTTGCTGTTTCTATTAGGCTTTACGCCACCTGAGGCAAATTGCTCAAGAAGTTTCTCAGTCAACTGTCACTGGTTGGGGTAGAAGGCCAGCAGCTCTACGAGCGCTTAGCCAGAGACTTAGCAGGTCTGTATACTTAAATTAACTTTAAGATCAGCTAATTGTACTGGTTTGCAAATGTTTCAATATTATAAACTTGATAAAATTTGTTTTGCAGGGGTTTCAACGAAGCTCTTAATGGTTTTACTGATGAGGGATGGTCCATGATGGGAAATGATGGCATGGATGATGTAACCATCCTTGTAAACTCCTCGCCTAGCAAAGTAATGGGTGTCAACCTTACCTTTGGTAGTGGATTTCCAGCTATGAACAATTCTGTCCTATGTGCAAAGGCATCCATGCTCTTACAGGTCAGAATTGTGGCTATTTACACTTTTGCTGTATTTGTTTGTGAACTTTTTTTGGGGTGATAATAACATTGGGTGGTTTGCATGCATATTTTTGGCAATTCTGCTGGATTAAACATAAATTTTTATTAATTATTAAATTTTGTTTATATGGTATCGACCTAGGAAGTTTGTTATTCTTTATTGGGTGTTAATTCTTGATAGATATTTCTGCTTTTTTCCCCTGGCTTATGGTTTCGTTTTTATTAAAAATACACAACTTAAATTGTATTTCATGATGTTTTAATATTTTACATTTGATTTAAATAAATGCTTAAGTGTACTCTTTATTGTTTTCCTATTTCAATTATATTTACTTTTGGTAGATATTCAATGCATAGTTTGAATCTCTTCCACTTTCAAGATTTTCTTCCCATTGTTACCATTGTTTAAGTGGGTCCCACCTTTGTAAGTAAATCCTGAGCATTCTACTTGAAATGCAGCTACTATTGGATGGAAAACCTTTAGTGAAAAGTTGAATGAAGAAACTTTAGGCTCAGTTTGGGAAGAGTGCAAATACAAGGTTTAAAAATACTGGATACAAGGTTATGCACTCAACATTTTTGTTTTTGCAGTCTGCCCAAATGGAGCCTTTGGTACTGATAAAGCAATTGGAAAACCTCTTCTCCCATTTTTTCTGCTTGAAACCAAAACTGGGTTTGCAATTTTAATATTTAAAGCATAAGCATAACCCATTGGAATATTTGAAAAATACAAGGACAATCCTGGGGAGTTGATATTCCAATGGAAAATGCATAACCCATTGGAATATTTGAAAAATACAAGGACAATCCTGGGGAGTTGATATTCCAATGGAAAATTCATTTGATTTGTTAAGCAATTGGAAAACCTCTTCTCCCATTTTTTCTGCTTGAACCAAAACTGGGTTTGCAATTTTAATATTTAAAGCATAAGCATAACCCATTGGAATATTTGAAAAATATAAGGACAATCCTGGGAAGTTGATATTCCAATGGAAAATTCACTTGATTTGTTCTGCTTGTCCTTCATTGTTTCATTGCAGAATGTGCCTCCCGCGATACTTCTCAGATTCCTGCGAGAGCACCGATCAGAATGGGCTGACAGTAATATTGATGCTTATTCAGCTGCTTCACTGAAAGCTGGCCCTTGTAGCTTACCAGGATCTCGTCTTGGAAGTTTTGGTGGCCAGGTTATTCTTCCATTGGCTCACACAATTGAGCATGAAGAGGCAAGTAATTTGCTTTGTCAGGATACTGTACACTAACACCTGTTTTTTTAATGATTTTGATGTTACCTTGTATTAAATGTTGTTTTCCCAATGCAGTCTCCTGATTATTGTCAGGATTCTGTACACTAACAGCCATTTTCTTTGTCAGGATACTGTACATTAACACCTGTTTTTACTGATTTTGATGTTACCTTGTATTCAATATTGTTTTCCCAATGCAGTCTCTTGATTGTTGTGCATCTGACGTTATTGTTCTTGTTGTGTGCAGTTCTTGGAGGTAATTAAATTGGAAAGTATTGGACATTGTCAGGAGGATCCAATGATGCCGAGAGACATGTTTCTTTTGCAAGTAAGCATTCTTTACTCTCCTTTTAATTCATGTGAATCTCTCATCTAAGAACCACTGGAGAAAAGCAACCAAAAATACTTCGGAAGAAACTGCTCATAGTTTTGCAACCATAAAATATAAAGGAATGTGAAGAACTATGAAACCACAATGTAAAGAAAATCTGAGTTTTATGTGTGTGTTTGAGGGAGAGAAAGCTTCTTTGTTATTTGGCTAATTGCATTAAAGTAACTTTTTTCTTGTTATCAGTTTAAAACTGATTCTTTCATTTTTGCATTATTACTGCTGCAGCTATGCAGTGGTGTTGATGAGAATGCTGTTGGCACTTGCGCTGAACTCATTTTTGCTCCCATTGATGCCTCTTTTGCTGATGATGCGCCCCTTCTACCTTCTGGTTTCCGGATTATTCCTCTTGACACAGGGGTGGTATGTCTTTAAGTAACTGGCTTATGACAGCCTTTTTTTCCCATTTAACTTCTTCAAGCATATATGCAATCAGAACATTTTGATCATTAAAATTAGATGAGTTGTCTCTTGTATGCTTTTATTATGGAATTAGAGACATTATGTCATCTTTCTATGACTGTCCCTTTTTTGAGTTTGAATTGCATTTGTCAACACCATGCAGGATGCTTCAAGTCCAAATCGCACACTAGACCTTGCTTCTGCTCTTGAGGTTGGGACTGCTGGTAATCGAATATCTGGTGATTATTCTGGCAACACTGGAAACATGAGATCTGTGATGACAATAGCATTTCAATTTGCATTTGAGAGTCACTTGCAAGAAAATGTAGCATCCATGGCTCGACAATATGTTCGCAGCATTATATCTTCTGTTCAGAGAGTGGCTCTGGCACTTTCACCTTCTCGTCTAAGTTCTCATTCTGGGCTTCGGCCTCCACCAGGCACTCCTGAAGCACACACCCTTGCTCGTTGGATCTGCCATAGCTATAGGTCTGTTACATGAACTCATCATCATCAAAACATCCATAGTTGCAGTTGTTGGCATGTCTGCATTATGCTCAAATCGGAAATTGCTTTCATTTCTTGTTGTATTCAGTCATGTAAATCGATTGTCTACACTGTTGACAGGAACTTTTTGGGTGTGGAACTACTAAAACCCAGCAGTGAAGGAAGTGAATCCATTCTTAAAACTCTTTGGCATCACCAGGATGCTATCATGTGTTGCTCTTTGAAGGTGAGTGCTTGAATCTCTATTTCTCCACTTCAACATAGTTGTCTAAGAATAATTTCATTTGTTCTGTGACTACAGTAATTTCTTTCTTGTACATCATTGTTTTTGACTATTCAATTTTCATACAAGTTTGGTTGCCTTATAGACATGATCTTGCGTGTATTGAGATTTATTGTCTGCTCTGATTTGAGAGATGGATCTCTTTGCACTCGGTAACAATGATGTGCTTTATTGCATTTCAAAAGACAAGTTTTCACCCTGTCTCCCCCCACCCTGAGAAAAGGTTTTGTGGATGCATTTTGGACTGAAGGTGTAGCATAAAGATTAATGTCATAAGGATGATATAACTACTGATGAGCTTGAAAGATTAGATATATATAGAAAAGATGACCAAATTGAAGATATAAACATGAGCATAGTTTTCAAGGTGCCAAGGTGAGGGTAGGCAACAGGGGGTGCCTTGTCGCCTAGGCGATGAATTTTTTCAAGTAAAACTCATGTATCCTACAGTAGTTTCCTAGGTTCCATAACAAAAGGAATTAGTATATAAACATGAAAAATGGATATTTTAGTTTAGTAATGTCTGTTTTATAATTATAATCTCAAAAAATTAAGAATATAAAAGCATTTTATAACACAATTTACAAAACTACTTAGCGATTAATTTGGCACAGGTTGTCTTATGGCTCAACTCCACTGGAATATGCTACTTAGAATTCTCACACAAATTTTGAAATATGATTGTGGCATTTATAAATATTATAACAAGATGTTACAAATTATAGGACTGCAATTCTCAAACGAAGTCTTCAAATAGAAGAAATTAAATAGGTTCCTAACTGCCAAGTAAAAGGACATTTACAAGCTAGCAGTTTTACTAAATTAGGGCCTTAACATAGAGCACCCCAAATCACTGTTGCATGGACACAGGAATCAGAATCTAATTTGTGATGACTCGAGTCAGCAAGATGAAAAAACAAGGAGTCATAAACATGTCTAGAGACAAGTACAAACTATTGAACACCATATTTTCTTGACTTTTAACATTATAAACCTATAGAATTTTTAAAAGGTTGTCTTTGTCACTTAATACCCTTTCATAGGGAAAATGGCAATCAATTTGTGCAATTACTTTTCATTTATGTCAAATAAGCAAGGGAGAAAAAAAAATCACATAAAAGTGTCACTCAAGAATCTCGGGAAGGTTAGAGTCTAATGTGTTTCTTACGCAGACACTTCATCCATTTGTGACGAGTGATCTATGTTTTCTAACTCTTGTACCCTTTTTAATTTCTACAATCTCATATTACAAATATAGAATTGCAGTATATCAAGCAATCTATTTTAGGAGGAATATGTAATATGTGTAGGAAATATCACACAGCTGGTATCTAATTATTTAGAAGAAATGAAGAATGCATCATGGAAGCAGACTAAAAAATATGGTGTCTCAAGTAGAACATGAAAGAAAATGTGCAATGTGAATTGAGGTGTGACACCTGATATGCGTTCTAGAATGTAAGGTTTACTTGAAAAGTGCCTGGGAGATAGTCAACACGGTAAGGATGTATTGCCACTGTGCTGAGTTGCTGTTGTTAAGTTGTACTGTGGGAAATGTTGGACAAAGGATCAGACACCATAATGCAATAAAGAAATAAAAGCATGAAAACATGGTTTTTGTGGCTCAGCTGTGTGCCTATGTCCATTACTAAATTCTTCAAAATTACAGTTAGGTGTGCGATGTAGATGATCTAGTTCGTAATCCTAAATGTTTGATGAAACTTTTCTCTTACCCTAGGAAATACCTAAAATGAGGTTTCCACTTGAACTGGAAGCCATATGAGATGGCTTTTGAAGTTCTATGTTCAGGAGTCCATGATAGAATTTGATGCACAAGCACGATAAATCAAACATTGTAAACTTACAAAAGTGACAAATGTGCATGCGATTTTCAGCATCTGTCCTCATGAAATCTTCTGGAGCATAAAATGGCTAGACAAAGTCTGGGAAGCTCTGAGATTCCATAATATTGCTTTTGCCAGTAAGGAATTCCACAAATCTGCAATATTAGCATGGATTTAAATGACTATATATGGGAATCGGAAATTTATCAAATATATAAGGGTATATATTGGTAAATAGGAAATCAAGAGTAATGCAAAACATGGATGATCTTGGTCCTCTTTTATTCCATTGCTTCTGCTCTCGAATGTAAAGACAGTATTTTGGTTAGCCATTGTTAGAATGTAAAGATGCATCACTAGATGTTTCAGAGTTTCAAATCTGCCATTGTTTATAACTGTGCTCTTTTTTTCTCTATTACCTTGACATTAAAGTTTATTTTATGATGTAATTTTTGCATTTTTTGTAGGCACTGCCAGTTTTTACCTTTGCAAATCAGGTAGGTCTGGACATGCTCGAGACAACCTTAGTTGCATTGCAAGACATTACTCTGGAGAAGATATTTGATGATCATGGACGAAAGACGCTCTGCTCAGAGTTCCCACAGATAATGCAGCAGGTTTTGTACTGCCCTTTGAACACTAAGCTTATTATTTTTTCTGTTGTTGTTCTTGAAGGGATTGTTTTAGAATTACATGTAGTTAGATGTTTCATTTTTCTTTGGACTTGGTTTGGTAAGAGTACAAATACACATATCTACAGTGCAAATACATACAAAATCGTACAAAATACAAGGTTTTGCAGTCTACATATTTGTATTTATACTCTTTCCAAACTGAGCCTTAATATAGTTTAACAGCATAAGTTCATCATATAAAGGATTCATTGCTGGGATTTTATTAAGAAGCTAAAAAAGACTTTCTTCTTGAAATCCTTAGTCAATCTCACTTTGTTCTTGAGGACCCTATTTTAGAGAAGTGCGTCCAGATGCTGCTGAAAACCAGTATGAAGTGACTTTGAATTCCCTTTACTACCAAGAGGGGATATATTTCATCATCACCAACTTGAACCAAATGGCTTGGTTTTTCTGATGCATTATTTGGTGTTCTTTAATGTTGTGGAATCTTCTTATTTCACTTTATTATCTTTTTTTTTTTTCATCTTCACCAACTTGAACCAAATGCCTTCTTTTTTCTGATGCATTTTTGGCGTTCTTTAATGTTGTGGAATCTTCTTGTTTCACTTTATTATTATTATTATTTTTGCAAACTAGACCTTCCCAATTTCCTACTTTTTTTTCTTACAAAATAGGATATTTCTAATTTTTTAACTTGTCTTTTGTTATTTCCTCGATTGCTCAACATCCTATGCTTCTTCATAGGATGTTTTATTACTTCTTTTGGAAATTCGTCAATAATGTTCATGGTATTGGTTGGTAATTTGAGTCTTACAAGGCACATTTCTCCTTGCATCTCCAATTCTGTGTACCTCCACTTCAATCTCTTTTTGTGGTTATCTCAGATCAACAAGCCATAACAACCAACCATTTGGGGTTTACACATCCTGCCCCACGTGTCATCAGTGCACAAAATCCCAGAGCAATATCTTCTGTCAAATTGTCGCCTTTAGATAATTCTTCAGTCCTTGCTACTTCCATACTGTTCTGTTTGGACTATGGCCCACCAACTGGATAACTTGGGTCAAATATATTATTGCATTTTTCTGTAGTGGTTGACCTTATGTGTGGTAGAGAATAATATATAGAATTCAAGTAAATGTGGGCAATCTATTTTCTCAGCATAGTTGTTCACTGTTCTATTCTATTTCGATTCATTGCAGGGGTTTGCATGCCTCCAAGGTGGTATTTGCCTATCAAGCATGGGCAGGCCAGTCTCCTACGAAAGAGCCGTAGCCTGGAAGGTGTTGAATGAAGAGGAAAACGCTCACTGCATATGCTTTTTGTTTGTTAACTGGTCTTTTGTCTGAGGTTCAACGTCCCAATCAGAGCATCGGACAGGAAGAACGAGTAAAAGAAAACAGAACTTCTTTTACTTTTCCTTTTGTTATCATCTCTCCCGCTTTTCCTTTCTGGAATGGAGACACTGGAATGCCTCGGTAATGTTTAGTGAACCTCGGAGGTTAATTCTGGGCCCTACTTTTGTTATCATAGATTTTGAGATTGTGCTTGAATCTATTGGGTCATGTGCCTCTCTGCTTCGCTGCCTGTTCTGTGACTCGAGGTTCATCTGGGTGAAACCCGGATGGTTAGACATACGTATATGCTCACTCGTTGGCCAAATTCTGTGATGTGGCAATCTCTCTCCTGCTTTGAGTGCGCTATAGTGTTTGCTGATTCCCGGGCCAAACCTCTCCCATATTCCTGTCATCTTTTGTAGCCCAACATTTCATTTGCGAGGTCATATATCTGAGCAGCTACATTAAAAGTTCAATCTGGTTGGATGAATGGAGCTTACGTGAAATGGAGGGATTGGAACAACAATGGGAGATTCCTAGAGGTTGGCTTACTCCAGCAACCCAACGGATTGAACATTCATATTGTACCTTTCTGGTACTTGGGCTGTGCTTTGTTATCTGGGTTGCATAGCCGTAGGGTTCCCGTATACAAGTTGTCCATGCACGATTGTCACAAGTTCTTTGATCAATCCAAACTTGGGTCGATGCTTTTACATTTCAGACGTAATTCCATATTTTCATTTTCAACCGACGTTTACTGGACTAGGAAATATCTAGTGTATTTATAACGTTGAAGATATAGTTTTCAGTTCTCACAAGATTGTGTTAGACACTTGACACCGTTCTTAAATCTTTTCACTTTTTTTCCAACCTTTGAGGCACGGGATCACTTATTTCCCTTAACATTTTGGATATAAATATAATTCCAAGGTTTAATATCACTTGATTTCATCATTAATAAAGTTTCTCCTTTCGCCATAAAAACGTCGCCGACCTCCCCGAGTCTTGAAGAATGTTTTTGACCTCTAGTCCTCTACCATCTTGGTCTGAGGTGAAATCCGTTACGCCTGATGGTATTTGGCTTTTGGGTTAAAACCCAAACCAGGCAGGCCCTTTGCCATGTATTTAGGTTTCCACCTTAACGTTTTTTCGTCCAGTTGAAGGTGGTGTCGCATCGATACATCTAGGGCTGGTGTTTAGCTTTCATTCCATTGTGCAGTGATAAAGCATGAATAACTCGAGGTCGTGGTTCGTTCCAGGCTTCGGATTCCTTGGCTGGAGCCTGGATCCATGGCGCATGATGGGGTCCCTTTCAGTCGAGTGAGAGGTGATCCAAGCCTCACGGGTGCAAAGCTAAAACTTCGTTGAGTATTGCCAAATGCTAACCCCAATCACAGAACGCTTGGCAGGATAGTTATTTTGTCATATTGGGGCAAGGGCCTGGCCAGGCAGGGCCCTGATGGGAACTAAACCAGAGTTGAGATCATTACGTTGCAGAATTCAAAGTTCAGATGGCAGAACAGACCGACACTGTGGAATCTACCCGCTCCAGACCTTGCATTCCGCGCTGGCACGGACGTTAATTGATGGGCATAGTCTTGTAATAGCACCTCCTGGCTCCGGCAGCGTGCTTGGCAGCTGGTGTTTTGTGTTCTAGCTCAGGTGTTCTTTGTTGAGATGCGTGGTAACCAGTGGCAATGGCATTGATGCTTGCCGAGCTGGTTCCCTCGTTTAATCTTAAACAGGAAAAGGAAAATTGCCAATCCCATGGAAGAGAAATTAGGGTTATATAGCAGTCTCTTCTCTCTTGTGTGGTTGTTAATTTTTGCCAAGAGGATCTTGTAACATTCATTTGTAACACTCTGGAATAATATATATCTCAAGTGAAAAGTAGGGGTCAGGATCAGGTTCAGACCAACCAAGAACTAACCGTGCATCGTAATCATCTCATTTTAATGTAAGCGATAAATCTAATTATAGTTCTTAAAAGGGTGTTAACTTGGTAGAATCTCAAACTAGCAACAACAAAGAAAAGTGGGTAGTTGATTTCAGTAATGGCTTAGCATCATTTCTAGTCCTGTGGTAGTATAGAGTTTTGAATGGTTGTTCCGTGGACAGTCTGTCCTAAGCTAGGACTCCTTAGTCCTTACCATGATGCATTTGCATTATAGACCAGTCCCAGAAAGGATACATCCATTGAATGATTCATCAGAGAATTTAATTCCATCACCATTACTCTATATGACTCAAGGCATATTGTACCAGTGCCTTCATATACAGCTCAAAAGCCCATAACACAGTCAGAACGTTTACTTAATTAACATGATTTCTTAGACCTTTAATTAATCTAAGTTCTTCATTGCCCAGATACTCAAAGATACCTGGGGAAATTTAGTTTCAGTGGTGCAAAAGGCAAATGCAAGATACCCGTGAGGTTAGGTGAGGGAAGGGATCTTGAAAGCCGACACCACAAAACCTATAATATATTATTGTGAAAGAGAAAAATCATAGTTCTACTTCTACCAAATTCATGAATAATAGGGAAAAATGTTAAGTTTGACTCTCAGAAGTTGTAGTTATTAACATGCCCGTAGAAAAGAAATGCTTTTGCAGTAATACTCGCATGTTTTATAATTGTCCCTCTATTTCTGTTAGCCTTGTCTTTGTACCATAATTACTTCACTTTGTACCCTTTGCATGAAAATTCAAATTTACGGTCCTTGATTAAGCATTGGAAATATATGGGTAAAATCTTCTCAATTAATTGCTACATCTAGAGTTCCAATTAGTATAATAGTACTGCCTTTTGTTTCCTTCTGTTACAGCAGAAGTTATTGGATCAATCACCCTCTATCAATTTCAATTTAAGCTTGTCCATCCCGATCAGGGAATGTATGTGTAGTCAAATTCAAATATAACTCTATGTGGTTATAGCAATTCAAACATTCACTTTGACCCCCAGCATATGTTGACACTTAAGTCACTTCATGAAGAATAACCAGTAATCCCAAGCTAATATGTTCTTTGTTTTCACTTCAGTGGTAGACACAGCTCACAAGTTGGTGTCTTTGGCAGCCTACCATTGGATAGAATGTTTCTAAATTTGGACCGGAATTTTGTAACTGGCTAACAAATGAACAAAATATATAAAAGTTGTTTAGGCTGAACTAGGAACAGTGCCAAATAGTGAAAGTCACAATAGTAGGTAGTGAGATAATGAACTGGATCGGTGATGAACCAACTGTCCCTAGTATATTTATATTAACGGCGTTGTGTATGTACAAGGAGTTTTCTCCTATCATGGAAACTTCAGGGATAAGAAGATAAGAATTACATGAGAGAGCTACATGATAAGAATTACATGAGAGAGCTATATGATAAAAGCTCCATGTGCATATCGATCAAGCACATGGAGCTTGTTATGTAGAGCTGTAAATTGTTCGCCACCAAGGGGCTTGGTGAGAATGTCAACAATCTGATCGTCGGAGGAGATGAACTGGACCCGAAGACGTCGAGTAAGCATCAAATCACGAAGAAAGTGGAAGTCAAGTTCGACATGGCGAGTATGTGCCTGAAATGCAGGATTGGCCGCGAGATAAGTGGCTTCGATTTTATCACACCAAATGGTGGGGGGTTCAGGGAGGATGATACCGAGATCCCAGAGAAGAGATGCTAGCCAAAGTACTTCGATGGCCACCATGGCACATGCTCAAAACTTAGACTCCGTGTTGGAGAATGTGACAGTGGCCTATTTACGAGAACTCCACGCAACCAAATTGTTCCCCAAGTAGATAGCAAAACCATCGGTGGAACAACGATCATCGGGACAGCCAAGCCATTCAGCATCTGATTACACTTGAAGTGCAGAGACAAAGCCTTGGAATAAACACAAGCCATGAGAGATGGTATGTTTGAGATAGCAGAGTATCCATTTAACTGCAACCCAATGCACCTGTGGGAGATTGTAAGAACTAAGAGACCTCACTGATGGCAAAAGAGATGCCAGGACGGGTGATAGCAACATAATGCAGGGCCCAACAATACTTCTGTATTTAGTAGGGTTAGAGAGAGGTTGGCTGTCAAATTTGGACAGCTTAGTGCTAGAAGCCATTGGAGAAGAAACCGACTTAGAAGTATCCATGTGAGTTCGGTGTAACAGATCACATATGTACCATTGTTGGCTTAGGGTGAGTCCATTAGAATGCCGGAGAAGTTCAATACCTAAAAAATAATTAATAGGACCAAGGTCCTTGAGAGAGAAATGACGTGATAAGTGCATGATGCACTCACAAATAGCCGCATTAGAGGATCCGACCATCAAGACATCATCAACGTAGACCAATAGATAGAGAGTCACGGAGCCAGAGGAATAAACAAAGAGAGTAGTGTCTATATTTGAAGTTCGCAAGCCCATTTTTAAAAGTTGATCCGTAAGGCTTGAATACCAAGCATGGGGAGCTTGTCGATATAAGGCTTTGTGGAGCTTGCATACATGGTTAGGCTTGGAGGGTCCTTGATGCCTTTTGGTTGTCAAACAAAAATATCTTCATGAAGCACACCATTCAGGAAGAGTAGAGTGTGGATCGTGACGGGTTTGACTACCGTGTTGAAGGTGGTGGTGAAGTCAACTCCAGGAACTTGCGTGAAGCCTTGAGCAACAAGGCAAGCCTTGTAACGGTCGATGGTAACATTAGGCCTGCGTTTGATTTATAAATCCATTTGGTGTCGACAACATTCATATCAGCAAAATGAGGTACAAGAGTCCAAGTGCCTTGTGAAATGAGTGCATTGTACCCTTTTGTCTATGGTGTCATGCCAATGAGCAGAGCGAGACGCTTCAGAATAGCAAGTAGGTCCGGTATTGTCATCATTTAATTGAGCAAGCAAGCTCTATGGCAATGGATACTTGGTTATGAGATGCAAGCGGGGGTCTGGGGGCAGTGCTGCATCCATAGAACGGGTCACCGTGGAATGATGTCGAGCAGGATGTTGTACAATTGGTGTGGCATCAAGAATATCTTTGAGATTCCTGGACAAATAATAAATTCTTGGATAGGTTTGGCACATGAAAAATATCATTTAGAGTAAAGTGATGAGAGGCAAAATTATTAGCAGATGAACCAACATGTCTAATCACCAAACCTGAGCCGTTATCAACTTTCACTTGATCGGACCCTCCATATTAAGATCGATTTTGGAGATTCTCAACGTCGGGTGCTATGTGATGAGTGGATCCGTGTACCAAGTTGGGTCAAATGAGGAAGTAGAACCACTGTTGTAGGCTATTGGTTCTGCTTCTTCATCCTTGAAGTTTAAATCATATCGACGGCAACGCTTGACTGTACCATGTTCTGGTTTGTTGCACAACTGATAAACCATTGGATTGTCGTGCCCCCTGCCTCTGTTATTGGTGCGTCTATCAGAGGGATCACACCCCTTGCCTCAGCCACGGTTGTTATTGGGAGTACTATACTGCTGATTATTACTGGAACCTTTCCCTTTGAGATTGGCGTCATTCACTGAGGGAGAATTGGAATCCACTACAGTGGTGTTTTGTTCCAACCAGCTTTCATGACCAAGAAGAATTCCTAACACATCATCAACATCAAGGTTCTCTAGATCGAACCTATTAGTAATAGCGGTAACAACGAATTCATATTCAGATCCAAGACTGGCGAGAATATAGAGAATCAAATCATTGGCATTGATAGGTCCAGCTACTGCAAC